ACGTAAGTAGTTATTGTTTGAATTACTCACGTTACGTCGGGCTAGGTTTATCGATTTATAGTCACTTTGTTGATCACACCGTGCGTTATAATACGTGTGTGTATGTGCATAATTCGATAAACGTTAATAGATAAAGATATATCTCAATTGAGGGATGGCGAAGAAAAAAATCCTTGCACTCTGTGTGACACAACGTGTCGCTGTACATCATTGGTGCATGTAAGAGAGCGCGCACGTGTTTCTTGGCCTGTATGTTAGTATGAAACTAGTGATTTTTTTTTTTTTTTCATCATCAGGCATTAGTTCTTATGTTTGTTTTATTCATTATGTTTTTCTTACGTGTAAGGAGCTAATTTTTTTTAATACTTTTGATGGCAAATTTCAAAAAAAATTTGAGCCCACAATACAACAAGTTTTTACTTATTGTCGAACTAATAGAGCTTTCGTGGCGAATCACAGTAATTCTGCATATTATATATTAAATGTTATGTTTATTTGATATTCGAATCGTTATTTTTATCATTACTTAACATTAATTTTTTTCACATTTTCTTAAACAGAAAGTAATTTTGAAAAAACTCGATACAATGGACAAAAAAATAGCTCCGAGTTGCTTTTTTTTAAAAATGGATTATATGAAAAATGTTTACCAAAGGTTTGGATGAACTGAAAAAATTCCATGAACAAAAAAATTAAAACATCGTTATGCGTTTTACAATTGTAAATACTTGAATAGTTTATGTGTTAACGTACATCTATATTAACTCGTGAGAATTAATATCTCGATCCCTACCTTCTTTTACGAAACGAGTAAGAGCTCGATGAAACTAAGCCCAATGAAAATGGACACAAAATAAAATCCACGAAAAGCAATCGGTCGCTCAAAAAAAAGCACGCACTTTCATACGAGAAGCCATAAAAAGCTCAATTAACACGATTTCTTCCACTTGCGTAAAAAAAGAAAGAAAAAGGAAAAAAATCCAACGCAATTGGTTTCTAAAATTCAGTATCGCTCGCTATCTATACACGAGCCAAGAATCAATCGTCAAAGATCGTTCGGGCTAGGGTCCACACACATTAACATGTACAGTCGTCGAGATGAAACATCTTACACCAGTCGATGATGTTCGAGGCACTAATTGAAGAAGCATCTCGGTCTAAATTACGGTGGTACAACCACCACAGTCGTCTCCAGCGTTCTTTCATCTCTTAATTCTGGGTCAAATGAATTGACCACTCGCGCGATCGGTATGTGCGCTACAGAACATGTATGTATATCATAATATGTATATGTACATTCACTGGCAAGAGGGAACAGCCGAGCTTTGGCGTGGACGTGATACCCAAGTATTATGGGCTCGAGAGACAATTCTTCAAAGAGATCGGCGGAATCGTGATTAGCCGGGATTCTTTGAAAAGCTAATCTTTTGCAACAACCGATTTCCAATGTTTTGTCAAGCAAAGACAGATGAAAGTTAAATCATCTCGAGCACGAATATTATTTTCGGCCCAAAGCACCGTGACCACATGCGTAAAATTGTGGTGTTGTGCAACTCATTTTTTCTCTTTTTCCGCAACGACGACCCGGAATGTTGACCAAAGCCCTCGCTAAACAATATACAACATAAGTACAGTAGGTACGTACCTACATAGGTATTTTCAAAGTGCAAAGGGGACATCGAGTATATATATATATATATATATATATATGTTTGTGCAGGCAAGCGAACCCACGCAGAGATACTTTTACAGACTTAACGAATGTATATGTATGTATGCGTCCTTGGCCTTAGCTCTGCATCGTTTGCTCACCTATACCTATATGTAGTACCATATTATAGGGGATAATATGTAGGGGGAGTCGGTGTACCATGAAACTTTTCTTTTTCTCTTTTTCCGGTCCTGTACGCTGTGCACCCACCGGAAACGCGCTAGTTCTGTATTGTACATACGTTTGAATTTTTTTTTTATAAATTATAACGTATGTACACAAGTGCATGTCTTTTCTATTTGTTGTTAGACTAAAAGGCGCATACTTGTGCCCTGCATGCAAGCACAAAAGTGTACAAAAATCGGTAGGAATTGAGAAGAAGTCGGTTCTTATTTTACTTTATTTTTTTTTTAAATTACGTATCTCTCGCATAAGATTTCAGCCGAATCAGGTTGTCTCAAAATGGTACGGATGTCACAATAGGTATATAGTATACAGGTATAGCTCAATAAATAATGGGACACACTTATTTTCTTTTAGCGAACTCGATGTCTTCATTCGAAAATCATCTCGTTCGGCGTAGAATATAATAAAATACATGTACTCCCAAAGGGGCTGGAAATCACTTTATCAAGATGGCATGTAACTACGCCGAGAAAGAGGCGATGACCATTCATTCTCGCACCCAAGCGTATATGGGTGGAGATCACTGTGTAAATATATATATATATGTATATGACGTGTGTGTGTGGCTACAGAGGCGGAGAAAGGCAAAAAAAGTGCGGTCGTCAATGGCTTGGGGGCCTTTTTTACCTAAAGAGAGAATCGAGGGACAATACCATATAAGTGGTAGCAGACGTTGATGCAGAAAATATTTATGTCTTGGGTTGAAAAATTTGTCGTCAATCTCGATGTGTTTCCAATTGATAGCTAATTGATGAGCATCCAAGATGTTGGAAGGAAATTATTTTTGCATCAGTTAAAAAGAAAGAAAATTTTTTTTATTCGTTTTATTTTATTTATCATAAGTTTACTCAATGCGTTTGATTGCCGACCGGAACAATGTATTGAAGATAAAAAATAAAATAAAAATATGGAGGTTCATCGGTATGTATACAGGGGCCAGTGTGTACTTGTATGCGGGGGAGGTGGCAAAGAAGAAGAGAAAGAAGGGAACGTCCGGTTTTTCTGGTTTAGAGCTCGGCTCTCTTGTGTCTCTTTCTCCGAGAGACGAATAGCTGCTGCTGCCACCCAGTGTTCTAGAGTAAATATTCAGGAAATTCATGATACCCTGGATTCTTCCTCTTTTTTTTTCGTAAATGTAATTTTCATCCATGACGACAGAGCCAATTGAAGCCTAATGATGAGCCTTTTTTAATGGTTCAAACATCTTGTAGTGATGAAATTAAAATCGGATCTTTATACTCGAGAGTGTCGTATGTGTGTAACTATATCTCTTGACTGCATTCAGTTGAACGTCAAATTAACAAAAAATTGGGTTCTTTAAAAAAAAATTTCATCGAGTCAACCAAAAAGGAGAACTCCAAATTCAGGCGCTAAAGGTTCGAGGGTATACGCGGCTCTGGTGGCTCTCAAAGCGATGAGCTACGTGTATATTATTAAGTACGCACCTCTGCATGCATGAGTATCTTGTTGCATTCTTTCGTGGATATAAGTGATATATATATATCCTTATCGTATATAGATGTTCGTGTGGTGGGTATAAGAAATTTACTTCACCTGTATATAGATGTTCTCAGACACCAAAGTAGTAAAGACGTACATCTCAAATAAATAATAATAATTGATCATTAACCTTTGTTTATGAGTAACGAATGTATGAAAATTAAAATACGTATCGATGATATTTGTCATAAAATCATGCGATTCATCTTAAATAAAATGTATACCAAGTTTAAAGATAAATATCGACAATCGCTAACGAGGAGCGCATGTGTGTCTGTTGTCAACTCCGTAGGGTATCCATGATAATTTAACCATCTTACAATACAGAGGTTTTTCTCTGTATATATAGGTATATGCATGCCATAACCACTTTGGATTTGAAACGAATCCGAAAAATTCAACTTACACGTTTTTTTTTTTTTTTTTTTTTTTTTTTTTTTTTTTTTTTTTCCTCTTAAATGACTATTTTTTGTTTTATTTGACTACAAATTACTCACACAAAAATCGACTTCTTGAGTTACTTTAACGACAAGTTGTTAAGCTTATTCCAGAATTGAAGTCGTGTTTGTCAGAAAGCTATTTTTTGAAAATGATAATCATTGACTGACATAGTTATTTTTATTCTCTTACAAAATTAAAAATACATTAGAAAAAATGAAGTTTCTTGTAACAAACTATCCTAATTTATCATCCTAAATTATAATTCATATTGAATAACATCTGACAATAAATTGGTCAAAAAATAAATAAACTATTGTATGTCAGGCAAAATGGAGATATGCGGACGAATTTTGAAACTAAACAATTAAATAATTTACAATAATTATAAGCCTCCTCCCTTAATTCCAGTTTATTTATATCTGTGCTACCTGGGTTAGCACGGTTTTACTACTTCGTAGTATTCAACACGAACATATATATTTTTAGTAAATCTATAATCTCTTCCAACTAAAATTGTTTTAAGGATAAAAATTAAAGGTTTCATAGGTAAATTATGGTTTCATGCTTTAACTCGTAAAAAATTCTATAAAGAACAAATTTTATCGATATGATTTGGTAAAATTTAAATTCCTAGGGGCCAATCCTAGCTGTGTCCCAGTGTGCTGACACGGCCTTGTGACCAGGAATGCGCTTGGCTTGGAAACGCTGAGCTTGTGCCAAAAGCCGGACCACATCCGTGACAATATCTTACCTATGAATCCAGTAATCAGACATCTGATTTTTAGACTCACATTACAATTAGTGCAAATTAGTACGATTATGACAACTCGTAGCATAAATTATGCTGTCTGGATATTAATATTCGTCAAATTTGGAGGTATTGCGTATAAATAAGTGAATCATGGAAAAGCAATGAGTCAAAAGTCTAAATTACTTCTAAAATAGATAAAACTACGATAGTGTTTACTTATACTCACCTTCGTATTACTCATTACTTTGAAATTTGTTACTTTATGTTTACATACAACACTTATTGATGATTACCATGGACATCACGGTTGAACAACATAACTACAGGACAAGTAAAAATAAAATAAATTTCTCTTTAAATTCTTATGGTAATATACTATTTTGAATCTTACATTTTTATGTAAATAAATGTTACGATTTTTTACATCTACGTGGTTTATTATTTTCAAAGGTAACTTATAGAGAACAGCATATCGTCGAATTTTTGTAAGATAACATTTTGTGACGTACGGTGTGAAGAAACACTTTTCCCAAAATTAATCATCATACGGCCATGGAAATGACCAATCCATGTACATTTATCTGTGTGCGTAATAAATTAAAAATAAAATTAACGATAAATGTGTTCAATGTGTGTTAACAATAAACTATAAGTAGCGTGTGATTCAATGTTTCAGTGTGGTACAGTTGTTCGTTTATTCTTGAAGTGACAACATGGGATTATTCAAAGTGCTGTTATGTACTATTGCTTTACTAGTGCAAAGTAAGTTATATCGCGACTCGAAATAATTTTTACAATTTTTCACTCAAAGTTTGAAAAGTTACACAGAAAAAATTATGGAATGGCTTTGATGATTGTTGGATGATTTACGTTTGGTTTTACCCACATCGATTAAGTGTAGATTAAATTTATCTAGTATAATGAAAATTTTAAGCACGAAATTTGTTTCAAGGTACGTTAGCAGTGCAGCTGAAATCTAAATGTGGAAAAACAGACATTACCAATAGAAATATTAAAAATGCGATGAAGGGCGAATTCCCCTACCACGTGTCCGTTCGGAAGGTTTATGAGAACGAATATTGCCCAGATGGATGTACAGTTCACTTGTGCAGCGGCGTCATCATTTCGGAAGAGTTCGTTTTAACTACTGTTCGTTGTACTGCAGGCTCTTTGGAAAAAATCAAATTTGTATACGCTGGCGATCTGGTGAACGAAAACATATTGGAATCGAAGAAGGGCGAGCAGAATTTGAGGGTAAAAAAAGTTATCCTTCATCCAAGTTACGATAGGTAAGGAATTAATTTATCCTCTAAATTGAGATACAACCAAAAGTTGAATCATCAGAAAAATTAATTTAACCACGGCTGTTACAGTAAGCATCCGAGGTTTTCGCCAAACGACATTGCCTTGCTGCAATTGGAAAACCCAGTCAAAGTCACGGATAGCGTGCGCCCAATTAAGTTACCTGCTTTTAACGAAACGGAAATTTCAGGCGAGATATACACAGTGACGGGTTGGGGCCTGAATAATTATGACTTCAAAAAACTCAGGTACGATTGTGTCACCTCAAACTCAAATAAACAAGATTGCATCGGACCTCTGCGGCACCGTTTACCCATGTATTTTATACCTTCAGATCAAATCTGCGTTACCGGTGAAAATGTATGCACTACTACAGTAAGTGTATTATTATAAGTTGTAACTGCTCAAGCTCCTTTATTCATACTAGTAAATTATTGATGAATTGGTACGTTTCTTTTTAAAGATGGATGTTGGCAATCCACTTGTCAAGTTTGATGACAACAATGAAGCTGTGCTCATAGGCATTGCGACTGAACCAACTTATGAGGTCATTGTCAGTGATCGTTGTGTTATGATGGTTTTTACCAGAATTTCCAATCACCTGAAATGGATCAAACAATACGTTAAAATCAATGAAGCTTCAACGTTACGATACAATAACATATATCTTAAAATCGCTGTAGGTCTCATTCTTTTTTTTCTGCTTATTTTTGCACTTATTTGTCTTTGTAATCTTTGCCGACGTTGCAGGGCGCGGCGATCGTCTCGCAATAACCACGTGACTAGTTGTGTTCAACATAAAGAATAACGATCCTTCGATAAATTTCAATAAAAACGACGTCAAATGCATGTTTGATCATTCTGACGATGACTTACATCATCTGAATTTTTCAGTGTGGTTTTAATTGGAAAATCTAAACAGTTACAATCTTAACCTGCATATATTATATGCGTATAACTGCAAAAAATTTTAACTGTGCCCAGTTTAAATATCAGACTAAACTTAACGAAGATAATTTTATGTATACCTGCTGTAAGATTGCCCACTAGAAAAATAACTAATTTGTTTAGTAAATGCCATTCATACAATCGTTAAATAATTTTTTAACCACATACTTGCAATGTACAAAATACTGTTACATATACGAAGTAAAACATCTATCAACTATCACTATTTTAACGGTAATTTTTTACTTCTCATGAATTTTTTTACAACTGCACAACATCTCACGTAAAACTGATTTTAAAAATCAGTATAACTGTATGCGTTTGAAAAAAAATTAGTTTATATGTATTCTAAATTCCATACAGTATGTAAAAATAATATTAGTTATTGTTGTTACTGCAAGAAAAGGGTAACATAAAAAAAAAAAATTCGTTCAATAAAATTATTAAAGCATCAAAAACCTCTATAAACTACTTTTTCTTGTAACATTAACCCTTTTCTCGGCTATCCTACAAGTTTAAAATTTTTTTAATTAAGAACCAGAAACTTAAAATCGCTATATCTCCATAAATAATGCAAAGAGCTAGGAAAAGACGATATTTTGTAATCATGAAAATTTGAAACAATTTATTTTTGAATCCGTGAGACTTTGGCCACTCAAAACGATCAAATAACTCTCCCAAATACTCTAATGGCACGCAAATAAGCTTATCATATCACACAAAGCCAAAAAAATAAATTTTGTTTATCTACTGTGGGACTTGGGCTACTTAAAACGATTAAATATTCATTTCTAACATTCCATCATCCAATACATGAGCTCATTATACCACCACACATAGAGTCCAAAAAACGTAGTGATCAATTACTTGAATTGTATTGTATAGGCAGTAAAAGGCTATAAATATATCAATAATTAAATTGATCATGTTTATTTAATTCATTTTCTATACAATTTTTCACGATGTATAGATCAATTAAGGTTATTTTTTTATTAATACTAATTTTCTCGATTATTTAGCTGTCTTATTTTAATAAAAATTACTTTAAAATTTTCTTCTTTTCAATAAACTATCAATTAGTTATTCACAAGATTTATTCATTAATTTATATTGCAAATCCTTGAAAAATGCGCCAAAAGCAACCAAGATGGTTCTCGCTTGGTCTACACATCTGATTAGTTACCGGCTATTCATTAGATGAAAGCTTGAACAACCATGTATAAAACCATTTCTAGCATACCACGTGGAATTCATCGTATAATTTAACGACTTCTTGATTCTGTGCATCTGATATCAACACATATTTTGGAGTTAAAGTTTCTAGAAATAAACACAAGCTTTTCATAAAAAAATGCAGTGGCTATCGGCTTACAACGTGCACACTCTTGTCTAGGAGTTCATACTTCATTGTCATTAGGACTCTAACGTCAAACCCTAATAAATTACAGAAATAATATCGTTGGGATAATCTTAACTGGAAAATATGTCTCACTTCCATGTATCGATCAAAAACTCCAAAATAATGCATGGACGGTAGCAGAAGATGCAGTAGAAACTGTAAATAACCAGGTTCTCTCTCTCTCTTTTTCTCTAGGAATATGACAAAACTTCGGCTGCCCTGCAGAACTAACGCCATCTCTGATCGACCAAGTATACAATCAATGTGCGATGTTGCCATTTGGGATCACGTCACCGCCGGGAAAGAATCACATTTCCCTGAGTGTACGTACAAGCGTACACGCCAGGGAGAAAGAACGCAGCCACGGAGCAAAAAGCGTCCCTGTAGTTGCTCAGTTACGTGTGCGTGGTAAGATAGTACGGAGCTTCAAATAAACTGTTGGCTTTGTTCTCTACAAAACCAGAGATAAGAACCTTTTTTTTTTTTTTTTTTTTTTTTTTTTTTTTTTTTTTTTTTTTTTTTTTTTTT